CTTGTAAAATAAACGTATGGCCCCAAAAATGTTTGCACCGGCCTCTGACTTCCAAACGAGTCACTCGTCAATTCGTGTGGAGGAAACCACGACCACAATGTGGCCCCTGACAAAACTGTGTTGTACAGCTCTGCTTGAAATAGTTGCCCACATACGTCGACATGCTTAAAACCTGTCAACATGTTCAAGGTTTGTTTTAACGCAAATAAAAAGGTTCCAGTCGCATCACAAAAGCCATTTGGTCTGCTTCTTTAGTGTGCGCGTGTGTGTGTGTGCGTGTGTGTCTCCATCCATCTCAACTCAACTCAACTCAAGTGTATTTGTCGAGCACTTTCAAACAGCCATCGCTGCATACAAAGTGCTGTACATGGAGCAAATTAACATATACAACAAACAGCAAAGCAAATCGGTAATAAAAACAGTAGAAAGCACCGAACAGCAAAACCAAGAACAATCTTAAGTCATGCCGAGTCAAATGCCAAAGAATACGCGGGAGTTTTGAGGCGGCTTTTGAAGACGGGCAGCGAGGAGGCTTGCCGAATGCTCAGAGGGAGGTCGTTCCAGAGAGAGGGACCAGCAACGGAAAAGGCTCCATCCCCTCCGAGCCTCGGTTGAGTTCTCGGTACTTCTAATCATGTCTGGTCCGCAGACCTGAGGCGCCGGGCAGGCGCGTAGGGGCGGATGAGCTCAGAGAGGTAAGGTGGCGCCAGGTCATTTAGAGATTAGAAAACAAATAAGAGGATCTTGAAAATGTATGGGGAGCCAGTGAAGGGATGCCAGAGTAGGAGTTATGTGCTCCCCGGCGTCAAGAGGCGAGCGGCGGCATTCTGGACCGGCTGGAGACGCTTAACGGAAGACTGGTTGACTCCAAAGTCGAGGGCATTGCGGTCATGGAGCCGGGATGTGACAAAGGCACGAATGACTGTCTCAAAGTGTTCGTGAGAGAGGAGAGGTTTTACTTTGGCCAGCTGTCTGAGGTGAAAGAAGCCGGATTGAACAACGGCACCGATTTGCCGGTCCAGTTTGAAATCACTGTCCAGTTTAAGGCCCAAGTTTGAGACCGTTGACTTAAGATAAGGAGACGGGAGGCCCAAGTCGACAGGACGCGATGTGCGAGGGCCGCTGGGACCAAACGGGATCACCTCTGTCTTCTTTTCATTGAAAGTCAAGAAATGTTGTGCCCGCCATCCGGGTTTTGATTTCTTCCGGGCAGGAAACAAGTGGCCTGAATGAGAAGGCGTCTTTTTCGCTCAGTGGGACATAGATATCTAGATAGAAAATATGTCGATGTGAATTTCAGATTGACTAAAGAACAAAAGAAAAACAGCTTGACTGCTTTTGGCCCCCGGTCTGGCCAACTCATTCAGAGTTTCAAAGAGTCTTCAGTGTGGAACTACTTTGACGAGTGGTATGTTGGCTCCCTGTCGTGCTCCGGCAAAATACGGAATCAAATGCTCAAACCGCCTGATTTGGACAGCGGTTTCACTATTTTTGAATCCAGTTCCGTTTTGTAGGAGCTGTTTTTTTTTGTATTTCTCTTTTGAAGTTTTTCTTTGTTTTTTTTCTCGAATGTACCCCGACCCCTATTGAACAAATATTCTTCATCTTGACTTCGAGGCAAAGCAATCAATTCCACGTCGCTCAATCCGAAATCTCGGATCTTCGTCGGTACAGAAACAAAAGTCTTGACTCCACCGGGGTCGTCGTCCAAAATAAGGTTCCTCGCGGTGATCCGTGGGAATACACGCGGGGACGGCTCCCGGAGATTTCCCGCTCCCGGGGCTCAAGGGGGTCTGAGGAAATCTTTGCTCCAGATATTTTTCAACGTTGAAATGCTGGAGGTGCTCGAGCGGAGCGACAGCGCCCCCTGCCCTCGCTGCGGCGCCACCCTTGAACACACGCGATGAGTCAAAATGGATATTGGGGGCGGGGTCAAAACGGCGTTCTGAAGGGTACCGGAACAACAGCGACCCCCCCGCCGCCCACGACCCCACCCACCGTGGAAACGAAAACCAAAATGGATGGGATATGTAAATGTAGTACCGCTTTTTGCCGGGAGGGGCAGCAGAGTACAAGGCTCGGGCCGTGGGGTGCGCTCGAGGATGAGAGAAGGAGAAGCGGCAGAAGCGGCTGAACTCGGCGCCATTTTAAAAGAAGTCATTTGTGCGCCCCCCCCCCCTTTCCATCTTCTTTCAGTGATCGAGCAGCTTCCCATGGATCTCCGCGACAGGTTTACGGAAATGAGAGAGATGGACCTCCAGGTCCAAAGTATGTCCGAACGCTCGCACCGAGCTGTCAAGACACAACAGCACAGCACAGCACAGCACAGCACAGCACAGCACAGCACAGCATACGTTTGCCCTTTCCGATGTGTGTTGGACGCGAGTCAGAGCGGCCGCCTTGTGCGCTTTTGGAGACGCCAGCAGACGCGAAAGACGCTGCTGGACGAGGATGCTCGCGTTCTAATCGCTGGCAAAGAGTAGAGGAAATTCTGACAAAGCTTGTATCTGGGTGAAAATCGGAGTTGAGGAAAGGGTAGTGGCGGACAACAAAAGCTCATAGAGGACACCCCAAAGCAAGTGCAAGTGCAAGTGCAGGACGCCGGGACTCAACTTGATTCGTCGAGGGCTTGAAAAACAAAACACGGCTGATACCAAATGCTGTACTCAAGTGAGAATCGTCCAGCGATATAAAAGCAAATTAAGAGCAGAGAACAGTCAGGCGATGCCGAGTGGAAAGCCAAAGAATAAGAAGGCGGTAAGAGACCAGTTTGAAAGAAAAGGGGGCTTAACCAATCCCATCGGAATGCTGTCACCGTCGCACGGGGACGTTGCAGGTGGGGCCGGTACGCTCCCTGACACACCCGCGTCGCTCGAAAGCTGCGGCGTTGTCACCGATGGAGCAAATGTAACCCGACTCAACGGGCTGCAAACACAAAGAGTATTCTTTTGCGACGTCGCCTGACCGACCTAACGCGGCCGCGTTCTGCTGTGGTGTTCAGACGCCACGGACCAGCTGGAGCAGAAGGTCATGGACTTCTTCGTCAACGCCAAGAAGAACAAACCGGAGTGGCGAGAGGAGCAGATGGAGGTCATCAAGAAGGTCAGATGCGTCGATGGCAAATGTCAGCAAAAAGCTCACCCTCGCCGTTTCGTTCGTCCGGTGGCCTCGTTTGCACACGCGGGCGCGTGTCCCGGCCCCCGAACAATGTCGGATTGATTTTGGTCGCTCTTCCCGAGAACCGTTGGGCGGCAAGAAGTCACGCGGGCCGGTCTCCGGCAAGCCGCTGCGTAAAGTCTGAGGCTTGCGGCGGACAACGCTCTTGAAGCGGGGAGCACCGGCGGCGCGCCCACCGTGACGCTCGCGGTCGGATCCTCGATTGAAGGCGATTTCCGTTCGCGTGCGTTTTGCATGTCTCGTCATCCGTCGGGATTCTGATTGCGGTACTTCTGCCAGGTTGTTTTGACGCGCCGCTCGTCCCCAGGTGGCGATGACCCAAGTCATCGGCGCATTAGATTTGAATTTGAACTGCGATGATCCATCCCCATTTCCGAGTCTTTTGGGCCACCGGTTTGCGATCCGCAAAGTTTCGCTTTGAGCCGTCCATTTTTGACAGCAGAATATGTTGGCCGCAAATTGTTTATTCCGCACGGATGAGAGTTTGGTCGAGGGCGCTCGGTTTTGACCGCAAACAACGCTGCGTTTGTGTTCAGGATTATTACAAAGCTCTGGAAGATGCGGATGAGAAAGTGCAACTGGCCAATCAGATTTACGATCTGGTGAGTTCTTCCCGCCGGCCGCCCGCTGCGCAAATCCCGCGGCCGGTCGGGAATTTTGCGCAAGGGCGGCCCGGAGCGAGTGGGCTGCGTGGCCGCGAGATGTCCCTCCTGCCTTTCTGTGCTCAGGTGGACCGGCACCTGCGCAAGCTGGACCAGGAGCTGGCCAAGTTCAAGATGGAGCTGGAGGCCGACAACGCCGGCATCACCGAGATCCTGGAGAGACGTGAGCGAGCGCTCGCCGCCCCGTCGCGGCCTCGCCGTCCGCGTCCCTCTCACTTCCCCCGTCTGCGCTCGTCCCGCAGGCTCGCTGGAGATGGACAGCCCGTCTCAGCCCGTCAACAACCATCACGCCCACTCTCACCCCACCGCGGAGAGTGAGTCGAGCTCCGCCCTCTCGCCCTCGTCTTTGTGGCGTGCTCATTTTGGTTTCCGTGGCGATAGAGAGAAGGTACAGCGCTTCGACGCACCACACGACGGAACACGTCCCGGAGAAGAAGTTCAAGTCCGAAGCTTTGCTCTCCACGCTGACGTCGGACGCCTGCAAGGAGAACGCGGCAGGTACGCGCGCGGGCCGACGGACGCGGCAAAGGCTTCTGCCGGCGCGCGTGTCGTCCGTCGCGCCGACGGG